AATCTTTTCAATCAGGTGAAGTTTTGATGTTTTTAATAAGTATACTGTTAACTGTATCATAAAAACTGTATTCATTTATCATTAGGTAGCGCGTACCTAGCGGTAGAAAGTATAGGGAAGCTTTGACCTTCACTGTGATTGGTTAAAACACGAGTTGGTATTACGCTGAAACCTTTGGCTGAAACATATAAAAGCGATGGGGGTACCTATAGGGAATTTTTTTTTAAATATTGATTTATGATAAAAATTTATTCTTCATGATATTTTTTGCTTGCTTTGAAAGTACCAATAACGTTTCGATGATCTACAATTATTTATAGAAATCGGGAAAAATATTGAATTTATTGAAAGTTATCTTTCTACATTATAATCAAGATAGCGTATTGCTATCAAACCACAAAGAATCGAAACGTTATTGGTACTTTCAAAGCAAGCAAAAAATATCATGAAGAATAAATTTTCTTCATAAATGAATATTTAAAAAAAATCCCTCTTGTATACCCCATCGCTTTACACACTGTATAAAACGACTGGCGATGTTTGTAAGCTGGTAGTTTATGTTACTAACTAAACTGCCGAAGTGTCATTAGCTGTTAAATGTCAATGATTTATTAAGGACCCTCAGATTCTTTATAGTTTTGTATTGTCGTCCGTCCGTCCGTCCGTCCGTGTGCGCTCTAACTCTTTTTAAAAGTGGCCAATTGTTTTGAAATTTGGTGTACGGGTAGGGGTACTTTGGACATAAAGGACGGACACTTTTGATTTTCAGAAAGCAAGTTCAACAGGAACAAAAGTTTTTGAGTGAATCGGGAATAGGGAAAACTGCGCGCTCAATATATAATAGAAATCAACATATTTCATTCCCTAGGCCATGTATCGAGTTCGGACTTTAGCTAGATTATTGCCTATGACTCTTAGACGTGTAACAATTCAATATAACTCTTCTCTGTGATAGAGGTCAAAAGTTTTAGAGCAAAATGTACTCAACATTATTCTTTACACACGAATTTGGAGCTTTCAAATGCATTATCTTGATACTGAAAGAGTACATCACGTGCATATTTGATAACCGCATCACGCATGTGTGTGATTCAAAGATGTAAAATTATTTTTTCTATTTCGGTGTCACAATGATGATTTTGTACAACTGTTTTCGGCCGAAAACAGTTGTACAAAGACAGTGATTATAGTCGTTTTTTTTGGTAACTCATCTCTTAAGTTGGCAGTTACTAGTTAGTACAAGTAGGTACTTCGTTGGGTACTTCCATGTTTAAACTTCAAAATGTCAGTCTTACTACGCTGCCAACCTAAAACTTAACGGCATAAAAAGTGTTCCCAACATAAAACATGTTAGTTCTAATGTTCCCTATAGTTTCTGATAATGATTTTTTAATTAAATTAAAGCACCGAAATAGAAAAAATAGTATGAAAAACGCGTGTTACAATGCTTTATTGTAATACTCCTATCTTGCGGACACTCGTGGCTACGCTTCGCGTCGCCACTCGTGCCACAAGATAGTCATATTACAATAGGTCGCATTGTAACACTTGTCTTTCAATATACTATTTTGAGGCCACATGGATTTTGATCAAACCATGTCAAAATCGTGCTCTATGCACCAAGATCGTTGGGAAAAAGATCAAGAGCATTATCTCAATGACCAAGACAAGAATTTGATGCATTTTTGTTAACTATAAAATGTAAGTAGGTATTATGTAAGATTAAAATAAATTGTCGTTAAAAGTGATTGTAATACTGAGGATTCTTCGATATTTGGCTGTATCGGGGCTTATTATTTTAGAAATTCACGTATATAGGTTTAGGGACGAACTATTCTAAGGTACGATATCAAACGGACCTTCGCACACTATACCGATCCCATTTTGTTATTTTGGTGAGAATTTTATGCCTATTCAGGATATTCGCAGGTTGTAAACGATTGTGTTTGTGAATAGTTGCTCATGATGGATATTGAAAAATTAATTGATTTAATTCGCGAGAGAAACTGTCTGTGGGACCAAAGAGAAGCAAACTATCATCAAAGAGTAACCAGACTCTTTGCTATCATCATCGTAATGTAAGATCCCGACAATGATAATCGGATGCTTAGTGCCACTTAGGCAACCAACCATACACTAACTGTGTAGGTTCGTAGGTACCTATTTGGTTACGATTTGTAAACATGGGTCTTATGCTGTCCTTTTCGGATTTTATAGCTGCAGAGAAACCTGAGAAACATATGGTTCTTGGTATAACAACCTCAAAGTGTGCGACTTTAAATGTACATTACGAATATGTTTATTCATTATAATAGCCTGTGATGAAAACAATTTATTACATTATTCACCCTAACCTACATTCACTGTTCTGTGCCTACATTTTAATTAATAACAAATTGCAACTTTGATGTTTCTTTTCCATGCGCAGATTGTAAGGAGATTTAGGCGTTTTAGCTTAACTTTGCAAGAGTACTGTGTATGGACTTGCAGATGTGTTCCACACTGACTCCCTGTACTGCGCAAACGCAAGCGCGCTAAAATTTGAATTTGTGTACAGCTGTCAAGTGTAAGGGGTAAATAATATACACATAACCGCCAAACGTTATAATTGAAGATAATTTAGCTTACCTATTATATGTAGTAGGTATATGAAAATGCCATGTTATCAAGATGAATTTTGTTGTTATCTACATTTGGAGTGCATGGTCATAGAATATGCCAAAGGCGATATTAGGAAACTGCTTCGGTAAGTACTGTAATAGTTAATTAGAAAGAGTTAATGACATTTACTTACAGCAATAACGTTACAGACCAACATTGACCTATGGTAAAGAGAGAGTCCGGTGCTGAACGAATCACAAAAAACCAGACTACAAGGATCATGACTGATAGCTAAAGTAGAGGTTTGCTTTCAAGTTGGCGCTATAATGTATTTAACTGGAATTCACAGTAGTGACCGAAGGCTTTAATTCGAGAAGAAGAACATATTCTTTCCGAAAATACAGCGACATTTGGTTTGTAATATNATTTCTGCAATGGCAGACAAGAAGAGAATTAAATTAAAGAAAATACTGTTACTAACGGCGTTAAGTAATGAGTTGGGGCTCTTGCATACTCAAAGGAGGGTACGACGGTGGGCAGTAAGACCTGTTAACAAATATAGGAGAAAATTTGGAAGGTTTCTAAATGTTTTTCAAGTAATGGTGACAAAGGATCAAGAAGAGCTGTACGCCCGACTACAAACAACTGCGTACAAAGTTTAAATTCTGCGAACTTCTGCGTCTCCTACAGACAAGCATATTTGCGGCAACCTACGTTTTGTATTTGTGCGTTCAAGCATAAACAAGGCCGTATATCAACATGGTCTCGAACTACCTGCGGCTGCGACTTTCTGCAGCAGCGCCGTTCTGCGTACGAGCCTAAACCCGCCTTTAGGGTCTGTTGTCTTTACTAAGGCGTTTTTTCGCGTTGACCTAGTCGAACAATTCTGGTTTCTGGTCACGCTTGGTTATGATTTGGTCAATACAAATTCACGGTCATTTGAACAGAGCGCGAAAACAGTTTTGAATTGTTGGTCATTTAACATAACCACAATTCGCAGTACATAACCTATACTTAAACCCTGATCAACTTGTGTGGTATATGCTTTATTAGTTTCATCATCCAATAAAGTAATTTTAAACATTTACCTTTTTTTTGTAACTTATGATTTAATGGAAACCAAATAAAGACTATTATTATGGTCGGTGTATCTTGTGAGAACTCAGGTCTAGCCTGGTTAACTAATCGCACGGATTAAAATCAAGTAACGATCAGTGTCTGTGTCTGTGTCTGGTGAAGTTATGTAGGGTCCTAAAAAAAAAATAAAATAAATAAATACCTAAATAAAATAAAAATTCACACACTCACATTGGAAATCTAGAGATAGTATGTAATTCATACTTAAAAACATAGCTATTGATGGGCACAATAGCCAACGCTATCAGGACAAAACAAAACAAAAAAAAATCATAATAATTCCTGTAATTTTATTAAATGGAGTTTATTGTGTAAGTGTTTCTTTGGCTTTGCGTTTGGGTTGAATACGAGTGGGTTGTGATAACGTGGTGTGTTTCTGTGAAGAAGGAGTTTTGTGTTTTTTAACTGTGCTAGGACATGTAATTTTATTGGGTGGACCTGTCTTTGTGGTGCATGTTGCCTTACTTGTATTTATGGTGTTTCTTTGTTCTTGAGGTTGTATTTGTGAGGTTGCTTGGGTTTTTGGTGGAGCGATATTACAGTATTTTGTGAGCTAGTAGTGCTGTTTAGATTTTTGCGCTTCGGTTGAATACGAGTGGTTTGTTTGTCTTTGTAGTGAATGTTGCGTTACTTGTATTTATCGTGGTTCTTTGTTTTTGAGGTTGTATTTGTGAGGTTGCTTGGGTGTTTGGTGGAGATATTCCAGTATGTTGTGAGCCTGTAGTGCTGTTAAGGTTTTTGCGTTTCGGTTGAATACGAGTGGGTTGCTTCTGAGAAGTAGAAGTATTGTGTTTTTTAACTGTGCTAGGGCGTGTAACTTTATTGGGTGGACCTGTCTTTGTAGTGCATGTTGCGTTACTNGTGTAAGGGGTAAATAATATACACATAACCTGCAAACGTTATAATTGAAGATAATTTAGCTTACCTGCTTACCTATTATATGTAGTAGGTATATGAAAATGCCATGTTATCAAGATGAATTTTGTTGTTATCTACATTTGGAGTGCATGGTCATAGAATATGCCAAAGGCGATATTAGGAAACTGCTTCGGTAAGTACTGTAATAGTTAATTAGAAAGAGTTAATGACATTTACTTACAGCAATAACGTTACAGACCAACATTGACCTATGGTAAAGAGAGAGTCCGGTGCTGAACGAATCACAAAAAACCAGACTACAAGGATCATGACTGATAGCTAAAGTAGAGGTTTGCTTTCAAGTTGGCGCTATTTAACTGGAATTCACAGTAGTGGCCGAAGGCTTTAATTCGAGAAGAAGAACATATTCTTTCCGAAAATACAGCGACATTTGGTTTGTAATATGGAAGTCAGCAGGAACTGGTACTATAAACAAAACAAACGCTGGCACGTTAAAGCAAATTCAAATTTTAGCGCGCTTGCGTTTGCGCAGTACAGGGAGTCAGTGTGGAACACATCTGCAAGTCTGTGTATGGAGCCTTTTAGACATGCGCGTATGGCGTGGACGATTTAGACAAACGTGTTGGAGGTTAGCCCTAATAACCTATTAATGATGTTGAGAAATACCATTAAAGGTCTACTTTCATTTGTGAATAGTGGTACTTATTACTTTTCTGGTAGTTCTTTTTAATCTTTGTTGCTTTACAGGTTCGTTAAAACGACCAATGAGCACCATTTCTCCACTTCAGTCTCACCGAATAGTTTGGATTGACATGGAAGTAAGCAACTTCATCTGTAGTTTCACTTTTATTATTATGTATTAATCTCCCAAGATGACTGGGCTGGATATTGAAAAGGATCGTATAATGGAAATTGCTTGTATAGTCACCGATGGCAATTTAAATGTTGTTGCTGAAGGACCAAATGTAATTTTAAATGTACCAAAGGACATTTTAGAAAATATGAATGGCTGGTGCTTAAAGCAACATAATAAGGTGATAAACATTTAATTCGTTTCATTATAATAATGGCAGATTTTAGACTGGTTTAACAGAATCTTCGTTAAATTCAAAAATTACAGCAGAAATTGCCGAAACAGAATTATTAAACTTTATATCAAATCATGTAGTGGAAAAATGTAGTCCTCTGGCTGGTAATTCTGTGTATATGGACCGTTTATTCTTAAGGAAATTCATGCCGAGAGTGGATAGTTATTTGCATTATAGGATAGTTGATGTTTCCTCAATTAAGGAACTATGTCGAATATGGAATAGAGATGTTTATAAAAATGCACCTACAAAAACGTTGGAACATAGGGCCTTACAAGATATCAGAGAGAGTATACAAGAATTACAATTTTATAGAATGAATTTTTTCAATTTATGATTACCAATGTTCGTATGAAGGTATGATTACCTTTATACGTAGGTACTTAATAGAAAATCAGTTAAATTTATTAAAAAAATATAGAAATTATTGTTTTTACAGTATCAAGACATCACTTTTAATATTAAATACAGAAGTAAATAGATAATTATATTATTTATATATGCTATTTTCATTATACTAGTAAAGAGATCAAATTTCAACCATAAGCTGAGTGGGCGGGGTTTCAGCCATGGCTGGTCTACCACCCCAGTCCGCTATACATACAACAGTCATTTTATGATTTTCATGGATAACTAGATCGAAATTAAAATAAATTAAACAAATATAGCAAACGAGCTCCTGGGTATGGCTATAGCTATGCCTCCATAAATAAGAAAGTTGGCACGGCGCATGCGCAAAACCAAATTTTGAAACTGGCGTTAAATTTGGTTTTATTCCAAGTGGCGTATCAAATTTCATTTAAATCCCTCCATAAATAAGAAATTTGGCACTGCGCATGCGCAAAACCAAATTTTGAAACTGGCGTGCTGTACAGGTGAGGTTTTTTTGAGTTCTAAGTTAGGCTGAAGGTACTTTCTTGTTAAATATTGTGAATTAGCGATTTATTTTAATACAGAAGTTAACCGCACAGAATTGCTTATTTGCCAATTTATTTAAATTTTTGCGGGATCCCCCGGGATTAACATCTAACAATCCCGCCAATACCGGGATTGAGATTTTGCTGCGGGATTGCATTTCCTACAATTATCTAAACTAGTGTAACTCTACGCTATACTATAGGAATTACAAAATTCGAGTAAACAATTTTTTATTTAGATGGCCTGTACAGTGTGGTCCAATTTCGATGTGATTAAATGGGTAACTTTCTTATTAGTGCAGATAAACGAAATCGGTTTAGGTACTCGTGATTGTTCATGCTTATTCCGGTACCGTGGGCAGAAATAAGCTGCCGTCTTTTTTTTCCTATAGAGGAAAACTGAAAAATGACCGATTTTTTCAATTTGCTGTACCTCCTTTATTTTTGCAGCTAGATCAAAATGCCTTAGCATTATTCAGGCACTTATTAACGTAGAATTCAATGCCGGTAGTCGTTTGTTTCTAAACGTTTTAATAACCGCGCCGCAACTAGAAGTTGATTTTTTAAATGGAAATTATAGTTGGGCATTTCTTGTTATTTACTTTAAGACAAGATGTATTAATAAGAAAAATTTATTGTAAAAAACTTATTATTAAAAATAATTATGATATGGGTAGGTAGGTATAATATTATACTCTATAAAAACAATAAATCTTTTAAAACATTGAGTTACAACGCAGTTACCTACTAAAAAGACTAGAAACAAAACAACTGACGGCATTGATTTCTACGTCAAAAAGTGCCTGAACATGCTTATGCCATTTTGTTCTAGCTTCAAAAATAAAGGAGACAGCAAATTGACGAAATCGGTCATTTTTCAGTTTTCCTCTATAGAAAAAAAAAACAAAAGACGGCAGCTTATTTCTGGCAACGGTAATGGAATAAGCATGAAAAAATCACGAGTACCTAAACTGTTTTCGTTTATCTGCGCTAATAAGAAAGTTACCCATTTAATCCCATCAAAATTGGACCACACTGTACATGCATTTTCCACTGCCATATTCGCGTTCAGTCACCGCTCTGAAACTTGTGATAATGTTAAGACTTTCATTGCTTAAAATGCAGGGGCAGGCCCAGTGTCGGATTGGCAAATTGAACTGGCCCAGGCAACCGAACAGCACCACATAATGGGGGGGTGGTTATACCTGAAATTTTTCTCCAAAGTAACCCCCTAAACAAGCATTTGCACTTATTCCAAAATCGATTACAAATGTAGTTTTTTTGGGGGGGACACCCAACACCGTACGATCGCTGACCGCACCGGCCCACCGGGCACTTGCCCAGTCCGCCACTGGGCAGGCTGTGTACTCACTCTTCTCATCGCCAGCTAGTTATGGATAGCATTGTCCGCTTGCAAATGTCTGTGATTATGAGTTTGCGGGCGAGGGGCATTTGTTGCGTGAAGAAGTATAGGTTTCAGTTTGTGATAGCATTCCTTCGGTAGAGAGTGAAGTTGCTGGAGCGGTCCACTATTCAGCGGAATTTGTAGAACATCGCTTATGGTTGTCTAGTCGAAGAAGTGCAGGGGTGTATCGTCTTGAGGCTAGGGTTTTGACATCAGCTGGCTATGACAATCACTAAGAGGTAGGAGACCTGTTTCAACTTTCAAATGTTGTTAGTGAAATTTTCGGTAAATGTTATTCTTGGCTACTTAATCTTTGCAATTCTACCTTTACAATTCATCCTAAAATGTACGTGATCCATTTTGCAGTTCTGGAATAAGTTATTGTAGGTAGAGTATTATTGGAGTAATTGCATGGTTTTGGATTTGGGGTTATGTATGTTCTGGAAGTGTCTCTTGTAGTAACATGTAGGCACAAATATAGCGTAGTGTCTAGATTACCTTAGTTTTGGTGTGTTAGGGTCTGTTGTCTTTACATATAAGGCGTTTTTTCGCGTTGACCTAGTCATTGATTATACACACAATGTGTGTATAATCAATGACCTAGTCGAACAATTCTGGTTTCTGGTCACGCTTGGTTATGATTTGGTCAATACAAATTCACGGTCATTTGAACAGAGCGCGAAAACAGTTTTGAATTGTTGGTCATTTAACATAACCACAATTCGCAGTACATAACCTATACTTAAACCCTGATCAACTTGTGTGGTATATGCTTTATTAGTTTCATCATCCAATAAAGTAATTTTAAACATTTACCTTTTTTTTGTAACTTATGATTTAATGGAAACCAAATAAAGACTATTATTATGGTCGGTGTATCTTGTGAGAACTCAGGTCTAGCCTGGTTAACTAATCGCACGGATTAAAATCAAGTAACGATCAGTGTCTGTGTCTGTGTCTGGTGAAGTTATGTAGGGTCCTAAAAAAAAAATAAAATAAATAAATACCTAAATAAAATAAAAATTCACACACTCACATTGGAAATCTAGAGATAGTATGTAATTCATACTTAAAAACATAGCTATTGATGGGCACAATAGCCAACGCTATCAGGACAAAACAAAACAAAAAAAAATCATAATAATTCCTGTAATTTTATTAAATGGAGTTTATTGTGTAAGTGTTTCTTTGGCTTTGCGTTTGGGTTGAATACGAGTGGGTTGTGATAACGTGGTGTGTTTCTGTGAAGAAGGAGTTTTGTGATTTTTAACTGTGCTAGGACATGTAATTTTATTGGGTGGACCTGTCTTTGTGGTGCATGTTGCCTTACTTGTATTTATGGTGTTTCTTTGTTCTTGAGGTTGTATTTGTGAGGTTGCTTGGGTTTTTGGTGGAGCGATATTACAGTATTTTGTGAGCTAGTAGTGCTGTTTAGATTTTTGCGCTTCGGTTGAATACGAGTGGTTTGTTTGTCTTTGTAGTGAATGTTGCGTTACTTGTATTTATCGTGGTTCTTTGTTTTTGAGGTTGTATTTGTGAGGTTGCTTGGGTGTTTGGTGGAGATATTCCAGTATGTTGTGAGCCTGTAGTGCTGTTAAGGTTTTTGCGTTTCGGTTGAATACGAGTGGGTTGCTTCTGAGAAGTAGAAGTATTGTGTTTTTTAACTGTGCTAGGGCGTGTAACTTTATTGGGTGGACCTGTCTTTGTAGTGCATGTTATTATTATTATTATTATTATTGGAAACAGAACCGCTCGCCGCGGGGTAAACATCCAATATTTACTCTTACGTATACCTAACCTTACAATTTATAGTATTTTACAGAGCCAGTAAAAACCATTATCTACCTGGCGTATAATGTTCAATATTTTATTTGTTACTCATTTGTAAACAATAGTAAACGTAATAAATAATTAGTTCTTAAATTAATCTTTGTGGCGTTTTCATACTTGAATTGGGCGGCAACAGTATCACCGTCAATGTTTTTCGGATAGAGAGATATAGTTAATTGTTTTTCAAATGTCATGTAATTTTCGAGTTGTTAATAATTTCAATAAATGTTTAAATAATTTGTCGACATACACGACAAAATGGCGCAGTCGGTATAAAAAAATTACGCGAAGATCGTGGTTTTAGTGTTAACCGCTTTTGATTTCACTCCGTGTCATTTTCAAAAAAAAACAAAAAAAAACGCAGAAGTGAGGTATAAGAAACGCGAATAGTTTTCGGTAGTTTTTTTTGACTTACGTGCGGTGAAAAATTGTTTCCTCCGTGCTATTTCTAACTACGTAAGTTTGGAATTCGCGCTTACATACATCGTTGTGAGCAAATACAATGGCATACGCCAATGAGAACCTTTTACTCGATCTCCAACGTCAAATGGCAGATACACAAGCGAAGTTGGTCGCTTTACTTGCAGTTCAAACTGGAGATCCACATCCAGCCTCACGCAGCCAACATCAACTGCCAAAGTTTGATAAATACGTGCCTAAGGAAGACATCGACGACCACATAGAAAAATGCTCAGCTTTGGCTGATATAGTGGAGCTTGATGATCGCGCGCGAGTACAACTATTCGTAAACTCGCTACCGGGACAGCTGTATACATTGGTAAAAGATTTAATGCATCCAGTTACGCTCGACAAGGCAACTTACAAACAAATAACTGATATATTAAAAGGACATCTTAAACCAGTCCCTCTAATAATTCCATCCCGCCATAAGTTCTTACAAAGACGTCAGCAAGAGGGTGAATCAATTGCTAAATTCGCGGCAGAATTACGTCATCTAGCCATACCATGCAAGTACTCAACCCCTGAAATTTTGTCGGAAATGCTACGCGACGTTTTTGTAAGCGGTTTACGTGAACAACGCATTCTCGACCGCATTCTCGAAGAGGATAATGCCGAATTCGATAAGGTGTACAAAATGGCGTTATCACTTGAAGCAGCGTCGACGGGTACGAGTAGATTACTACAGCCAGAAATTAACAAAATCCGACAAAATACCCCAAACCAAGGACAGGAACCAGGAGCTTCTAATTCCAAGAACTCCAGTAAGAAAGTCAATCCAACATCAGCATGGACATGTTATAGGTGCGGGGAAAAAGGTCATAAATCTA